CCTCCTCCTGTGTCTCAGCTGAGAGTCACCCCGCTGTGCATGTCCTGTTCTATATTGTGTCAGAGATGCAACCCTGGTCTCTGATGACCACAGTCTCTCACATTCAGCCCTCATCATTTGTCTAAGCTCCAACTGTTTATGGTTAATACCAGTCTCTTCTGAGTCCCTCACAGGAGCAGGGTCTTAACATTATTTTACATAAATGGAGAAAATTTCAGTGAAAACAACATTCAATTGTATCCATTTGAACTCTCATTACAAAAGAGTAGTTATTCCCATATTCAGTTTTTTTGTTGTCCTGCAGCACAGTGTATGCGAAATGCTTCAACTGTATTTTTCTTAAAACTTCTATCATCTACAGAAAAATTTTACATGCACACAAAAATAGCAAAGACATATTACCTGTGCCTCCCTAAGCAAAATTCTCCTGTAACTAACCCCGCTGTTTCTTACTTATTTTACTGTGATTGCTCCAATCTGGCTGCATAGAAAGAAGACATTATCAAGGTGGTGATCCGATTGCTAGACTCCTGGAACAATCCCCTGCAGCATCTGGTCCTGGAAGCAAATCCCCTGCCAAAATTCCATCATATTCTCTCAACTAAAGATGAAAGAATTTATTTCAAATACCAACAACTTAAAAAAGCCGTTGTTCACTTAGCCAGCCAGGTAATCAGCCTTTTGATCTTTCTTTCATTTCTAATAACTGGTTTCCACCTGTGGTGAGAGTGTGTTGAAATACCTCACATGACATGAGTAACATTGAGTTCAAAAGTTCCATCTTCTACTCTGCTGTTAAAATAATTTAAGAGCCTTGGCCAAACAATGGAGAGTATAATAAAAAAGGGTGTTAGGGTTCGCTGTCCTGACAGGGCCTCTTCCCTGCAGTGTCCCCAGTGTCTCCCAGGACTTGTCCCTTCAGGGAAGAGGTGGTCAAACATTTTTCCAGAAAGAAAATCAGAGCAGCACATCTGCACAAGAAATATTTTCTTCAGCCTGTCTCAGGAGAATCACACAGGGATTTGGGGCAGACTCTTTCTCTATTCTCCGCACACTGGAGGACGAGAGTGGGAAGGGAAAAAGGAAGAATCACAGTCATGTAGGAAGGGCGGCTCCACACCCTAGCCAGAGTAGACTGAGGAAGCCGGATCACCAGTGCTGACCCGCAGGCACCGGAGGTTAGAACTTCACCAGGAAGAGCTGTTTCTGCTGTGGAAGCTTCCTAGCTTTATAGTTTGCAGAAATTCCTCCTAAGTTTCAGTGTCCTTGCTGTTTCTAAGTGAATCTGTATGTCATAACATTCAAACTTCAGAAATCATTTGTAATACCATGATTAAATTGATATTTTCAATATTTATCTCCATTCATTTATGAAAATTCCTATATTAGTGAGACAGCACATAAGCATCATCTTAATGTTCTCAGAAAACAATTTATTATATATAGATATATAATTTTAGAAGTAATAACATAAGCAACTTTATATTTCTGGGTTTTTTCCCCAAATACCTGTTACCTTGTGCTGTTTTTATAGAAAATTCCTATCTGACATAGAGAAAAAGAGAATGTTAATCAAACATCATAGGCAAGAAACACCTTAATTTTAAGTTGTTTTCTTTATTACTGTGAGGACACTTCTTGGGGACAATAATTAATTCTACAATTCATTGTTTTATGCCCCTTTTCAAACAACTAATATATTATGGTGCATATATTAGTAGTTTCATAGGAAATATTGTCTTTGGGTTCAAGTCTTAAAAGAGAAAAATAGAAACCCAGATAAAATATAATGTCACATGCTTCCAATTTCAATCATATGTACTCTTACTCTGTCAAGAAAGCTCCACAGATCAGGCTCTGCAGTCAGGCCAGACTTGCCCCTCCCAGCTCTGGAACTGAGCTGACATCTTCAGAGGCAGCACAGTGGGCCTAGGTCTCTGGGATCTGAGGGTCTCCCAGCTCGCAGAGGCCGACAGGGGGCTCAGGCCCACTGCTCTCTCTCCTGCTCTGTGCAGCACCTTCCTGAAGCACAGCCCCCCCCCCTGCGCCCAGCACAGCATCACCATGGGGTTGCTGCCAGCACCCTCCTTCTTATACATGCTTCTCCAAACTGCTCCCACCAAGGGAACTCAGAAGGACGCAGCTGCCTCTCATTTGGAAGATACTTTTCAGGGTGAAGTGAGGCATCTGACATTTTGTCACTCATGACTTGATTGTCAGCACCATGAAGCACTAAGTGCAGATTTAACATCTCTAGAATCCCAGGAATGACACAGTTTGCAGAATAGATTTAAGTCAATCATCAAAAAATAAAAGCTGAGCTATCAGAATAAAGGAAATGCAAATGGAAGAACAGGGACAATTTTTAGGAAATGTAAAATTTCCTTAAGGCCCAGAGTGGAAGTGAGCCTCTCTGTGGTTCCTTGCTCAAATGCACGTCCATATGCAAGGAGCAGATTCCTGGATCTCCCCTGTCTGCACTTCAGGGAACATAAATGCCTGAGATCCTTGCATGTCAGAAAATCATGACCTGTGTTCTGCTTCTGGCTTGTGGGTGCTCAATAAGTTTGTGATATGCTGGACAGGACACATGAAAACTTAGGCTTTGGCTGAAGTTTTACTTTCCAAATCACAACTTAACTTTGAAAAAACAAGGATAAACAGATATTAATAACATTATTAACAGTGACTATTTTTTATTTCTAGCTTGACCTTGAAGTCTCAGAGGAAAAGGACTTTGCTTTGAGGTCAGAGATGGAATCACTGACGTCATCTGATGAAAAACGTCAGCTGTTTGCTCTTTATAACTTGCTTCGCTGCTTTGTTATCGATGCAGAAAAGATTAACTTTCTTCTCTCGTTCCTGAAGTGCCAAGCTGCCAACAATGGCAGCTGCTAATCCCATGTTCACTCCTTCTCTTTCTGAAATGTTTTCTAATGATCCAACCTTGGAATGACTGTGTTGATGCATAACTTCTTAAGCAATGCTTGTCTGTAAAGGTTAGATGACTTCTTAAAAATCTGGATTTTTGTGGCAGTGTCAAAAAGTTCTATGTCATGTTTCAGTTTCTTTTCATCAACAGAAAACCAAAAAATATGTCATAAGGATAAAAATGTTAGATTATGATTAATCACTCTACTCATGCAATGAAGCAGAATGTATTTTCAGAATTCTTTAGAAGACAGCCACATTCTGTGATCTAACTTTCACAACATTTTATCAGATGATACAAGTTCTTCTGTAATTGCCATGACCAAATAGCATGAGTTTACTGAGCCATCTTTACACTGTATGGACACAAATACAAACTGCCATTGAATTCCTCTAACTCTTGTCTTCATCCACATCACAACCACACCCATCTCCCGAGCATCACCTTGGAGACTCTCCATATGTTCTACTCATTCTGGGTATAAAAATTCACTCTGGTCGAGGTCCAACGCCATCTCATGTTCCATTGTTTATTACTTTCCTCCCCTCTATGTTGGCTCAATGGACCCAGCAGGGAATGCAGATGCAGTCAGTTCCTGCAAGGTTCCTCCCCTCATTGTCATGGTCTCCATTTCTCTGACTACATTGGACCTGGACAGAGGGGCACAGGAGAGGAAAGGTTCTGACATCACCGACTGGGAGCTGCTGTCATACACGT